CGAACCTCACACATTCTTTTCAAGCACCGCCATTTATAAAAGTCGGCCATAGGTTGGCTCTTAAGGAATATCGAAAAATAGAAATCATCAAAGTATGCGGGCAGATCGCAGTGCAATTAAGCTAAAAGTCAAGAACAGAAAGATACCTAGAAAACCCCCGTATGTGTGGAAATTAAGACACACACTTCAGAGAAGACAGGAGGGAATGAGGGCACCGGTGGAAGGCAGCTTTAGCCACGAGGAAAGCTCATCGTTCTAACCCCTAGCGTCTGTCCGGGCCATGCCCATCGCCTCCCATGGCAATTATGGATTAAGAGCAAGCTGGAGAGTGATCCTGGGAGCTGTTCAAAAAGGATTCCAAAGGGAGAGTTCTAGGCCTTGTGAGCAGCTCTATGGTATGACGTCAAGGTTGGACTCTTTGTAGTTCCCCTTTTTCTGAAAAGGACACTCATTCTCTCCACATTACAGACCCATCGCTGAGTGGCAGTGAGTGAGGTCAAGCTCCTCCACAAACTAAGTGCTGCTCGGACTCAGGTCTAGATGTTTGGGTCCCACAAGCGCCCAGTGCCTGACATTATTTTGTGAGAACGGACCCTGACAAAACCACTCGCAGAAAAGCCATCAGCCCCGTCTCTGCCAGGAAGCTAGAGAATCAGGCGCAGTCCACAGTGCTCAGGGCCACCATTCTGAAGACGAGATCCCCAATCCCAGGGCTGGTCGAGATGGGCAGGCAGTAAAGGGCCTATCGGAATCACAAGGGAAGCTTCTTTTATATCAAGTGTTCTTCCCGTAGACCTCGGCCATTCCAGGCCACAGACACGGGAGACACTCTGTCCCCTTCCTTCCTTCTTCAAACAAAATGTTATCAGGGACAACAGATAAAATTGGAGGCAGTGAGGGCCCTGGAACCCCACCCTCTTGGTCACCCCACCCCAACCACCACCATGGAGCCTGGACACAGACGTTTTAGCCCAGACTTTTTAAAAAAGTATGTGTAACTAAATATCTGTCGCAACTATTTTTTTAAAAAAAAGTCTTAAGAAAGCAAGCTCCTGCAGGACGGCTAGCTTCAAGCAGGGCAGCTTCCTGGTATACCCTCCAAAGAAAACCTCATACGAAACAAATGGGAGGGTTCCTGAGGGAGGAAACCAGCCACATGGAGTTAGTAGCCGGAGATCTATTGAAAACAGCTAATACTGGTGACAGTTGTAAACTGGTTACCACACAGCCCTTTATCTGGGAATTAATGAGTTATCAGTGGCCAGTTAAGCCCCTCCTATTTTAGGATAACAAAGTCCTTCCCGTCTGTTGATAAGAGAATGTTTGTCCTGCAAAAGGCTAATCTAAGAGAGTCCCAAATAAATAACAATGATAAAACTGGAAAGGAGGGATAAACATTACCCTTCCCCTCCACACACAGCTCCCCAGAAGAGCTTTCTCTGAGATGCTCTGATAGGATGCTGCGGCTTAGCCTGCGAATGCTGCTAAATCCACCACTACAACCACCCCGGCCAGGCCCTTTTAAATCTCTGCAGGTCCCAAGCTCTGGTCGTTTAGGAGGGACGTGCTCTGCTCATATTCAACCTATTAAAACGCACCCAACAGCCCACACTAAATCATTTCTATTTAAACCGTTTGAAATGGTTCTTAAACGTTGCTTTTGAAATAATTATTTCTTTTGCCCTGTTGTTTGTTGTTTGTTGTTGCTGTTCATGATCTGAGAACATTTTTTCAGGTTTCAAACATTTTTAAGTCCCTGGAAAATTTTGCAGATTCCACGCACTGCTGTCATCTCTGGTGCCTTTTGGATAAATCAGCGATGCCCTGTGAAGTTCACTGCGGGGCTTACTGTGCGGAGAACATTGAGAACTGTGTTCGTTCTATTAAGCAATGTCCTATCTGCAGGGACTGACAAGAAAAATTCCTCTCTGGCGTTTGTATCAAAAGCAGCTGTGCTTCTTCTGTTTTCATTCTGCTGACATGATAATGTATGTGATCATGTTGCCCTCTTCACACTGGCTACCAGAAAGCTTAGAAAATACTCATGGTCAAAAAAAAAAAAAAAAATAGAAAAGAAAACATGCATGGCATTTTGTGCTCTAAACTTGCTCATGGGCCCATCTTATATTTCCTACCCTAAATTTCTCTTTACCTCATTTCTTCACATTTCTTTTAAATTTATTTTTAAAACTTTTTACAGCTGGGGTCTTGCTCTGTCACCCAGGCTGAAGTACATTAGCCCAATTATAGCTCACTGTAACCTTGAACTCCTGGGCTCAAGTGATCCTCTCACCTCAGCCTCCCAAGTAGCTGGGACTAGAGATATGTGCCACCACAACCAGCTAATTTTTTTTTTAAAAAAAATATGGGATCTCGCTATGTTGCCCAGGCTAGTCTGGAACTCCTGGCCTCAAGCGACCCTTGTGCCTCAGCCTCCCAAAGTGCTAGGATTACAGGCATGAGCCACTGCATCCAAATTATCTAGCTCAATTATTATGGATAAGCTTCCTTAAACCCTTTGTGGACCAAGGCAGGATATAAATAAATCAATACATAAATAGCATTATTTTTTCCTAAAACTGCTCTTCTCCCTTTTCTCAGATATTTCCTGTGTATGGTGACCCTTGTATTAAAATAATGGCTAACACTTACTGAGTACATAACTTGTCACCTGCCTGCACTGAGCAAAGTGCTTTCCATGGATTATTTCAGGTCTTCGCCAACCCCGAGAAAAAAGCTATAGTCCTGTTACTGTTCAGACAAGGAAACTGAGGCTTGGATCTATTGAGTAACTTGCCCAGAGCTACCCAGCCAATAACAGGCGGGGCTAGAATTCAGTCCCAAGCTGGCCCCACGGCCACTTGCTCACCCCCACTGGAAACTCTGCCTTAATCCTGGCTGCCTCTTCCTGGATTCCCTTCAGTCGATTGGCTTCCTAAACGCCTCTTGATTCTCGCTCCGTCTTCTGCATCCTCAGTCCAGGTTACTGTGTCAAGGCCCTTGTGACCTCTCACAGGACTTTTGCAGTAGCTTCTTAGGTGATCTCCCCAAGTCCGGGCCTGTGGTCCTCAGATCTCCTTGGTTCAGAAATACAAATGCGTCACCTTATAGATGGCACCCCGATCATAGGACAAAGCCCGGTTTCCTTTGTCTGGCATTCAGGACCATTTCCAATCTGTTCTTAGTCCAACCAGACAAACTGTGACCCCGCCCCGTGCCCCAGGACAGTAAATCACTTGCTACTCCCTAGTGGAGGGCCCGTGTTCATGCCTCCCTCTCCTGCGCCTGGTGAACTGCACTTCTTTTAAGGGTCCGGTCAAAACACCACCTTCATTGTGAAACGTTCTCTGAATCCCCTAGTCCTCAACCCTCTTCCATGATTTCCCCGTTCTTTGTAGAGACCTGCTCACCACACGTATTTCATCGTATTGTCATCATTTCTCCACCTCCCTCCCTCGACCTTGAGCTCTCTGAGGACAAGAGCTGTGTGGTCTTACTCACCTCAGAGCCTCCTGCCAAGGGCCTGGCATGTGGCAGCCACTTGGTAACTGTTTAATGTTCAACCAGTGGTAGGACTAAACTGGATGCGTCCACTGCCTGACGATTACACCTTCCTCAAGCACGTCTGCCCCGTGCTCCAATCCAGGAACACAGGGCCACCACTAACTTATCCCTTTACGAAAATTAGAAGAAAGTGCCCCCCCTGCAGTAGGACATCCTCGCCTTGGGCTCACGCATGGCTTCCGTGTCCTCCCACAGAGCCGGTTCCATCCCTAACTCTCACCAGGCCCGTGCGTGCGCAGGAACCCAACGAACACGCCCGAGCACGACAGGCCCGCACGCACACAGTTATCTCACCTTGGCACGTGCTGTTCCTTTCACTTGCAAAGCCCAGCTCCCACCTGCGCACATGAACAGCGCCCCACCCAATCCACTGCCTCTGCGCATCCTTCCCCTGGCCTCGTGGGCAGAGTTGATCACTCCCGCTTAAACCATGGAAGAGTCCCCCATCTGAATCTTGCCCTCGTGCATCAAATTCCTCTCTTTGCTGACTGGTCCCACTGCTGGCCTGGGCTCTCCCCAAGGGTGGGGACCACGTCTCAGTCATCTCGGTCTCACATGCCGAGGATGGTGCCTTTTGTATACGTGGTGGGTATTCCACAAGTGTTTAGACTGAAGGCAGAGCTCCAATCCACAAGTGTTTAGACTGAAGGCAGAGCTCCAACCTAGTACTACGCAGCTCAAAATCTTTACAAAAACCTTCCCTTTGTTTCAAACGCCCCTCCTCCCCCACCAGGCACACAGAAGCCATTCTCTGCCCCCACCACTCCCTCCTCAGCTCACCTACACTTAGGCACCATTGTAACCTCTGGGCCTTTGCTCATCTGTCCCTTCTACCTGCAATGCCCTCTTCCTCCCCGCCTGTCACCATTCCACCCCATCCTTCAAGGCAAGTCAAACATCGTTCTCTTCGTGAGGTCTCCCATCAGCAGATGTGGCCTCCTGCTCTGACACCCGAAGTACTTTGTCCTTCCCAAGTCATTCCTGAACCACTGCTCTGCGACGTAATGACGCATGATTATAATGAAAGCATTCTGAGGGCAGGGATTCCCGGACTTCAGCATAGTGCAATGCACACAGTAGGTGCTCAGCAAACATTAGACTGAATGGAATAGGGCACCCACGCCACGCCTGCAGAGGGGAGAGGCAGCAGTCTGCAAGGAACCAGCAGGACACACATCTTCTCTCCTCTTTTTTCTCAACAGGGACAAAATCTGTGCTCCAGGGAGAAGGGCACAAGGTGCCCCTCCCTTCCTCCCCTCAGCCAACAGCCTGGCTTCCCTTCTAGAAAGGTGAGAAGGTGTGACAGGTGAAGTTTCCTTTGCTCCACCCCCTTCTCCCCCAAACACAGACAGAAGTTCACCTCTGGCAGAGCTGTTTTCCAGGTCCTGCAGGACGGGAGTGAGCTCAGCGCAGAGCACACGCCCCGCGTGGCTCCGGGCACCCGGCACACCTCCCTCGCCAGCATGCAGCGCCTCACCTCTGCCAGCTGGGCCGCCCTGCTCCTCAGCCTGGCCTGTGCCTCCGTCCACTGGGCTTGCTGGGCAGGTAGAGTCCTGAGCTTTATTCTCAGCCCTGCTGGGCAGGGGGAGGGAGAGAGGGAGGAGATGGGAGGGTAGGAAGGGGAGGGTGAGGATTCCTCGGGCCAGGGTTGGTCCTGCACAAAGGAAAGAGGAAAGTTTCTCATCTGAAGGATTAGGCAGGAGTAGGGGTGGGGGGTCTTGGGTTTGCCTAAGACTGAGATTAAATACTCAGCTCCTCAGGGAGGACAGGGGCAGCCACCTGTGCCGGCCTTTCCCACGAAGAAAGAGGAAAAAGCAATTTGCCAGCGTCTCACCCATCAGAGGACCACACTGGCCTAAAACTGCATCTTTAGGTCTGCTGTGTCCCAAAGCTCCTTCTCCGCTCCCCTGGCCCGTGGTGATTTGCAGCCTCCCTGTGCACATCTGTGCCTAACCTTCCTTCACCCAAAGTCCCTGCCTGCCCCTGCACTTCCACTGCGACTGTCACGAAACCCGACCACCACGAACGCTGTCATTCGCTGTCCGCCGCACTCCTGCCTCCCCCGGCATTGGAAATGTTGGGCTGCCCCGTTTTCTCAGGGGGCTGGAGGGTCGGTTTGGATCCCCTGTCTTGCTCTGCCAGTCTGGGCTCGGCACCTCATGGCAGAGAGACCTTGGTTACAGTCTCATGCTCCTGGCTGTGATCGTGCCCTCAGCTCCCTCAGAACACTGCCTGCCCTGCTCCCCGACAGTCTCATCCCCTCAGAAATCAACCTTCCCCCGCAGAAGTCTGTAATCTGCCTCTGCCATCCCCAGTGTGCCCCGTAGCCACTGCCAGGCGGCCCGGTGGCGAGAGTCAGAGCACAAGCTCTTGGGCCCACAGCTTCCCGGCTCTGCGACCTTGAGCAAGGTACTCACCTCCCCGGGCCCAGTTTCCTCATTTACCACACCAAGATCACCAGGGTGCTTATTTAAAGGGTTGCTGTAAAGAGGAAATGATATGATTGCATGTAAAGAACATAAAAATAACACGTGGTAAACACACAATGGACGTCAGCAATTATGCGTAGCACATTCGTTTTATTTCTCAACTTCACCCCTTCCCAAATAATTTCTTTCTGTTTGCCCTCACAGTACCTTGCTCATGACAGGGGCTAAAAAAAAAAAAAATTGACAAATTTAACTGCATCGAATTGCTGGGTCCTTCCAGCAGCCTGTCCTTTAGTGATGCTGCGTGGGTGCCCCTGGCTGGCTGTGCTTGTAGGGGAGGAGGGCGATGCTTAAATTTGTCGGAATTCCCGCCTATGCTAGTCCATTTGAACCACACTAAATTGCTGATACTAGGCAGTTTTTGACCTATACAAATGGCAATTTCATACAGTTTAACCGAATACTAGCAGTCAGTGAACTAGGTGTTTTTCCACTTGCTTTGGAGGAGGACCGTTTCCATCCTAGGCGTAGAGGTGAGATGCAGGTCAGAGCCAAGGAAGTTATTTGAGTCATAAGGAAAATTAAAATGGTGAGGAGTCAATTTCTCCAAAACAAATCAAGACCAACCTCTAAGCCATTTCGTTGTAAATAATTTACAGTAACAGATTGCATCAAGGTAATTACTATACTTTAAGCAGGACATTGGAACAGCTCGGGGGGTTAGGTGGCATAAAATTAGTCTGAGCGGCAATTTCACGGTTTTAGCTAAACAATAGTTTTCTTCCAAACTTCCTGCTATGTGACAACAGGCACCTCTGAAGGACATGTTGACCTACAGGCAGTGGGGCCTTCAGAGTTTTTAAACCCTTTTTTTTTCTTTCTGTATTCCTATAGAAGCACGTTGAATAGCAACATAATTTCCAGAAAGGTTCTTCAAAATCCATCTCTTGGTTTTGAGCTACCTGGATCAGCCTTAGCACTGTCTAATAGACCTCATGTTGGGGAGGAAATGTTCCATATCTGCGATGTGTTTCCAGTGTGGCAGCCACTAGCCACATGTGGTGATTTGAACACTTGAAATGTGGCTGATGTGACCAATTTTAATACATTTAAATAGCCACAAGCGACTACTGCCTGCTGTATCGGACAGTGTGGCCTTAGGTCATCTCTCTTCTTATTGGCAGTCACAGGAGGGAGCGTGGGGAATGGCTTTCCTTCCTCAGATCCTTAACCCAATCCCACTCCCACAAACTGATAGAACTTTCAGAATTCCTGCTAAATTTATTTTCAATCGTTCTGCTCCTTGCTTATGAATCGAGGGACAATTCTAAGCACTGCATATTTTGGCAATCTCTGGACTTGCTCGTCTGAAGTTTTTTTTTTCACAACCATTGGCATCAGTAACAATATCATAACCATAACAAATAAAGAATCAAGGTCAGATTTCAATGTTTATTTGTTCAAGTTTTTAAGGGAATTGAAGATGGTTATGAAAAGACATTCCGGATGTTTCAGTGACTGTTTTAATATATACAGGGAAGCTACTTTACAGCTATATCTAATCTTCAGAGAAAGCAACTGAGATAGTGTTTAACAGCTATAGTTAGCAGGCTTGAAGGGCAATGAGAAATGAAGACAAAGCGTCTCTGAACGAGAATGGAGTGATAGGAAAGAGTGTATGAGTTTGTTCAGGCTGTCATAACAAATACCACCAACTGGGTGGCTTAAACA